GTTATTTTTAAGAAACCTGTTAATTAATTTCTGAATCCTGCTTAATTAAGGCAGGAAAAAGGAGGGGCTGACAGTGAAACAAGTCCAGAGGTCCCATTTTCTAGTTGGCACCTTTTATCTCAAAAGAGGTCACAGGGATGAAAAGGAGGCAGTTGCAGCTGTGCTGAGTGTGCTTTCCCATTGCCTGTTTGACTCTGCTTTGTTACTGTTGAGATGCCACCCGGAAAACCCTGCTCTGTGGATGGGGTGCTGGACAGAGCATCTCCTGTGGGAGCTTTGCACAGCAAACCCTGAGACCAGGGTACTTCGTAGGGTCATCTCAACAGAGCTATCCAGGAGTGGAGGCTTGCGGTGTTCCGAAAAGTCCAAATGGAAAAGAAAAATGCCACAACTAGCATAGAGACCCAGAACAGACCAGAGAGAGTTCCAAACCCAGAAGTCCAAAGAGACAAGACCCCAGTCATCTCTGCCCTCATCATCCTCTCTTGTTTCTTATCAGCAGGTGGAGGAAGGGAGGGTCAAGGAGTTGGATCAAGTGAACGCCAAGGAAGCTCCTCAGCCACAGCTATACACTCTGGGCTGATGGTTCCATAAATACCAGCCTGCTTGCTACTGGCTTCTGGACCAACTCACCTTCCTGCTATTGGGGCCAAAGAAAGCCAAAGCAGACCCGGAAGTTCCTCAGCGATTGCCACCCCACTGAAGAAGAAAGGAGGAAGCAACTCTCCCAGCCAAAAAGGGATGCCTAGACACTCGCTGGATAAGGCCACTGGCTTTGGCAATTTTACTGATTGGCTCCCCACTCCCACCCACCCACCCCGGAAGCTGCCAGAGCCCAACCCTTGCTGCCTTCTGGCTGCAAAGATCCCACAAAGTACAAAGTGCCCCATTTCCACGCACCAGCACCCCCCAACCCCCCACCCGGGAATGGCCCTACACCATTGTCAGAAGCAGCGGCGCCTCTTCCAGTCCGGATCCTTCAGCGCGATCTGGGCAAGGCGCCTCCCGCCCCAGGCCCTTCAGCAAGGCACGACTGAAGAATCCTGCCTGGTAGCGGGCCTGCTTTGGCCAATGCACCACCTTCTTTTCCCAATGAGGATCCAGTGATGTTCATCCCGATAGGGCCACTTGCTGGGCTCTCAGTGCGAGTGCCGTTCTGCCTCCGTCTGACCAACCGCTTCTCTGATCCGGGTCAGAGTAGGCACTTTCCCTGCTGGCGCTCATAAGACCGCCAAGCCCTCCTCCTGGAAAGGGAGGGGAAGGAGAAGCGCGGGGAGGAGAAATCTGTCCGCCGCGCCTCGCCGCCCAACCCTCGTCAGTCTCGGAGGAAGACGGCCGCGGCTGCCGCCGAGCTCCCCAGAGTGCGCGAATCCCTCGCAGCAGCCGAGGGACGCGGGTTGAGATGCGCTCCTCTCCTTAGCCGTTCGCCAGGCCGCCCCGCCCCCTCTTCCCTCTACAGCCACCCGCGAGACCAGAGCAGCGCCAGAGGCTTGCCGGTAGCAAGACCGAACGGCGGCGGCGGCGGCTGCGGCGACCAGGCGCCCGTAGAGCCGCTCCGTCCGAATTCCGGCTTCGGCAGCTCCGACGACGGACCTGAGCCTCGGCCCCTCGCTTCCTCTGCCCAAAAGGGCATCTCGGATCGCAAGGAAGGCAGGTGCTGTTGATCGTCGCCGCACTTTGGGTCAAAAAAGGAGCGGTGGGCGGCATCGGAGGGGAGGGCAAACGTTGTCGGTGCGCGGGCCCCTTTTCTAAGCCCGGTCGATAGACACGGAAACCGGCGGCCGAGGCGGCTGGCTATACCCAGTTGCGCGACCTCGAAGATCGGTGCCTGCAACTCACATCTACCTCACACACCCGCCCCCGCCCCAGTTGCGCAGCGCCACCAGCAGCTGGGGAAGTAGCGCGCCCGAGTTCCAGAGAAGGACAAAGGGCCGCGCGGCAGTGGGCGCGTTTCCCTCTGGCTGCCAGCCAGGCGTCCCTGAATGCGCACAGCGGAGGGACTTGAGGCGGGCTGCCCAAGGAGACGGTCGGAAAAGGCGAGAGAGCAGCGGCCAACGAAACTCCCCTCTGCTGGGCTGCTTTATCGGGAGCGGGGCAGCCGGAGAGGCTCCGTGCCTCCGCAGCCCACCTGCCTCTCTGGGTCTCTCGCACTCCAAGCCGGCAGTTCTAGACTCGTCTGATTAATGGGCTGCAGCAAAGGGCTGGCGGGGGAGGGGGGGGAGAGACGGGGCGACCAAGCCCTCGGCCTCCATGCTCGCGGGGAGTTCACCAGCTGCGCGATGCTCCAGGATCGGAATCGAGCGCTTATAGTGACACTAACCTGTACCTCCCCACCCCCGTTCCCGTCTCGGCACTAAACGGACGCGGCTGGCGCCGGACTTCGGGGGAGGTGGGCATTCTTTCTGCCGGAGAGAGGCGTGTGAAAGAGAACCCGGGAGGGCGCGGCAACGGAGGGATGGTCGAGCCTCCCATGCCCCCTGGGGACTTGTGGCGGGTAGGCCAAAGGGGCTTATTGCTGGCTTCCAGGGCTGCAGGCGGCTGCAGGCGGTGTGCTCCCACTGTGTCCTCGGCGGTCTTTCTCTGCTCGAGAGCTCCGACTGGTCCACAGATTTCCTCCCACGAAAGCTGGGAAACGTCCGCGGTACCGGCTTCCCGGAGTCCCTGCTGCACAATCCCAGAGGCGACCTGGGGAGGCAGGGCCCTTGAGAGTCAGGCCTAGCTTGGAGCAGAAGGTTATGGTGTGTCCCGTGGCTTGGCTGGGTGGACACTGAGTGCCAAAGCCATACAGACTGGCCCCTTCATTTTGGGTCTAGGGAGCTTTTGCCAGCACCACCGGGCAACAGGAATGGAGCTTAATCCCCAATTCCTCTTCCTGCCACTGTTGGCTGCCCTTTGGAGGGAGCTTTCCCAGAGCCACTAGGCTCAGCCTGGCAGCGACTTACAAACCAGGCTGCCAACAGTACAAGATGTGCTGCCCAAAGTGGCATCAATGACCACCATTTGCTTCTTTTCACATGTAAGTGTAGGTGCAGTGGTTTAAGAGCCACCTGCCGACTTGCCTGGCAGGCTGGAGTACAGAGGTGCTCGATTAGCCGCACTTCTGAATGTGGGTCTAGGGGTCCTTTGGAACAGCCACAGTGCCGCCTCCAAACAGAGCCTGGCTGGCTGGTGACAGAGAGGGAGTGCCTCCTGCCCCTCCCGCCTCCCTGGGAGCCTCAACAAATGGCCAAGCCGTGTGGGGGTCCCAGCCAGCCGCAGCTGGAAATGCACTGCACTGTACACTCTGTGTGTATTTCTTCTGCATTTGCCGCTTCTCTGTTGTATTTTTTGTAATTTCTTGTTCTTGATACTCCTTTAGCTAAGAGCGCCAGTGCTTTTCATTTCCATTTCCCCCCACGAGTGACTCAGGCTTTGTTCTTACATTTCTCCTCCATCTCAGTTCCACTGTGTCTAACCCGTGGTGTTGATGGAAGCACTGCTGCTAAGGCTTACAACAAGTAGCTCAACATACAGACGGAGCTGACATAATTAGGCACACAGAGGGAGACATTGTAGTAAATAAGGCAGCCATTTAATACGCCCCCTTTTCTACTAGCGCTGCTGCTGCTGCAAAGCTCATTTTCCAGGCATCAGCAGATGCATGGTTGCATGCCACGCATCTATCCATGAATGCCTTTTACATGAGTGCATACGGGGAATGTCCAAAAGCAGGGGTGGCCATGAAAGACCCGTTTCTGCCATTAAAAAGGCTAAATGGACAGACATAATGCTTAAGAGAGCTGCAGAAACAGTGTCCTCTCCTGTCTTTCTATAGAAAGCCTGGCCAGCTCAGGGTTGATCGCTTCCCCGCCCCTTGTTCTTCGCCTGAGGTTAGGCTGAGCCTTCAAGGCGGGGAATGAGGGACTGAAAGATCCACACAGGCTCCATCACCCTCCCTTTCTTGAGATGGGGCAGCTTTTCCAGGGTCCCTCACTCTTCCCTGAGGTGCCCATTTTCCTGCTTCAGCCTTATGCTTGTATTCATCCCAGAAAGGTGTGTACATTTCTGTTACTTTAGGCTCAGTCATAAGCGGCTGCCTCCCAAACCTTTGTCCTGAGCTATTTTTCTTGGAGGTTCTACGTAATAGAACTTGTTGGCTAATATGTATTTTCCAGAGCTATTTTCTGGACATGGCTGTGCTGTCACCTTCTCCATAATCTTTCCAGATAAAGCTTTCCATCAGATCTCTTTGCTCAAAGGGCTAAAAATTGATGAGAAAAACACAGTCTAGCCTGTTTAAAATGTATTCCAATCTAACATTTTGCATTGATAACGTTCTTAATTGCCAACCATTTTCCTGAAATAATATTATTTAAAATGTTAAATGTGACCCTTTAATATTCACTATGTTTTACCCCTCCTTTGAGTTACTTCTAACTGCAGGGGTTTAGGTAAGAAAAATACACAGAAAAACATATGGAATCAGGAGGAATGAAGGCTGAGGCTAAAGGAAATATGAAAAGGCATTACTTCTAGAAGAACTTTCTAAAAGTTCTTTGAAACTACTTACACAACACTAACCCAAAACCAACAATTCTCTCACCAGCCTGAACTTGCTACTGCTTGCCACTGTAATACTCCTTCCTTCTTCCTCCCTTCCCTCTGCAGAGCACATTGTCCATTGCCACAGATGGGAGAACAGCATGAGAGATTGGGGCTATTATTTTCCTGGGCTGTCTAGAAGTAGCAGTCCACACTCAACCTTATTTAGGGACTGATGGCCACAAAGAACACCATAGGGGATCGACAGTGGCTAGCTGGACCTGGCTTTGTGCATCAGCCCCCCATGATTCCTGCTTTCGGACCTTTAGACCAAGACTCGAGGGAGGCTCCAGCTGGCCTTTGCCCATGTGCCTTCTGCCCTCCCGTCCTCAGCATCTTTCTGGCCTTGGTGACTCTCCCCTTTTTCTCTTTGGCAGGTGTGGAGTATCTGCTGGCTACCACAGCTGCACTGCAAAGGAATGGCCTTCAGGATCCTCTGGGCAAGGGCCCCCTTCTGCACCGCTAGCCTTGGAATTCTGCTCCTAATCTACGCCCTGCCTGCTGAAGGGTAAGGTGGCAGAACCGGGATCTCTTGTCCAACTGGGCAGCTGAATCATTCCTTCTGACCCAGCCATGATTTTGGGGAGGAAAGCATCAGCCTCCATTTGGACCCATGTTCCGACCTCACAGGACTGATTTGCTTCTTTGGAGGCTGGCTGATAAATTACTCTGCTCTGTTTGTACCCTTCCTGCTCTAGAGAAGGGGTGATTCAGCAGTCTGTTGCAGGCAGAATTTACTGCTGGGTCAGCCCCTGGAGCTTCTCAGAGACTAAATAAATAGGACAGCTCTGCTGGGAGGTTTCTTGGGCCTCTATTCATCATTTGCCATTTGCTGCCCATCAGGCAGAGCAACCCTGAGTGGAGTGCCTGAGGTGGGGAGGCCGCCATCGGCCCAGCCTCTTGCCTTTCTTACAGCCAGCCACAAGGGCAAAGGGGCCAGGCAGAAGGTTGGGAGGGTGGACTCCTTTTGGCTAGGCACCTTCAGACAGAGGCTGGGGAGGCTTTAATCTGGATTCCTGCCCTGATCAAGAGAGCGATGGATCTGTGGATCCCTGGGCTCTTCCCACTCCAAAAGCAGATGAGGGTTGCTTGAGAAGAATAAATCCCAGGGTTTATCATTTGCCCTTTCCATGAAGATAATGCAGGCTGCAACTCATAGGTTTCAGCATTTAAACCTTTCCCTCCCTCCAAAGTCACTCTGATGCATCTTTCTTTCTTTCTTTCTTTCTTTCTTTCTTTCTTTCTTTCTTTCT